TTAAAGTCTATTTTGTCAGATATTAATATTGCCACTCCTGCTCTTTTTTGAGTGTTGTTTGCTTGATATATATATATATATTTTTCCATCCTTTGAGTTTTAACCTTTTGTGTCTTTAAGTCTGAGGTGCATCTCTTGTAGGCAGCATATAGATGCATCATGCTTTTTTATCCGATCTGCCACCCTCTGTCTCTTTATTGATGCATTTAGTCCGTTTACATTCAGCGTAATTATTTATAGGTATGAGTTTAGTGCTGTCATCCTGATGTCTCTTTGTGTGTTGTTCACAGTTTCTTTGTTCTCCTTAATTTTCTGTGCTGAGTCGTTTTTCTTTATGTTTTTTTTTTTCATCTTTTTCATTGTTGATTTTGTGTTTGCTGAGTCTTTATATTTTTCTAGTTTTTTATTTTGACTTGTAGGATTGTTAGTTTCCTTTGTGGTTACCTTAATATTTACCCCTATTTTTGTAAGTTTATACCAATCTTTTATTTCTTTATATTGCCTTGACTTCCCCTCATATTAAAAATCTATGTCTGCATTTTTTAAGTCCCTCTTTTTTGTTTTAATGTTGTCCTTTTTTACATATTGATATCTCTGTTTCCTTATTTTCAGTGTTTTAGCTTTGATGTATTTTTGACTTCCCTATCTGAGTCAATATCTCTTTGCTCTGTTCTGTGTTCTAGTCTTGCATTGTTATTTGATGTTATTTATTTTCTAACTGGAGTACTCCCTTTATTTCTTGTAATTTTGGTTTGGTTTTTACAAATTCCCTAAACTTCTGTTTCTCTGGAAATGCCCTAATTTCACCATCATATTTGAGAGACAGTTTTGCTGGATATATAATTCTTGCCTGGCAGTTGTTTTCCTTCAAGTCTTTATATATGTCATCCCATTGCTTTCTTGCCTGCATGGTTTCTGCTGAGTAGTCTGAGCTGACCCTAATTGACTGTTCTTTGTAGCTGAGTTTTCTTTTATCTGTAGCCTCTCTTAAAATTCTCTCTTTATCTTTGGCTTTCACAAGTTTTATTATAATATGTCTTGGTGACTTTCTTTGGGATCTACCTTATGTGGGGTTTGATGAGCATCTTGGTTAGATATCTTCTCATCTTTCATGATATCAGGGAATTTTTCTGTCAACAAATCTTCAACAATTTTCTCTGTATTTTCTGTTATCCCTCCCTGTTCTGGTATGCCAATCACTTGTAGGTTTTTTCTCTTGATAGAGTCCCACAGGACTCTTAGAGTTTCTTCATTCTTTTTAATTCTTTTATCTGATTTTTCCTCAAATAAGTTGGCGTCAAGTGATTTATCTTCAATGTCACTAATTCTGACTTCTACTGCCTCAGTTCTGCTCCTATGACTTTCTATTGAGTTGTCTAATTCTGAAATTTTATTGTTAATCTCCTCGATTTCTGATTGCTATCTCTCTATGGATTCTTGCAGCCTATTAAATTTGTCATTATGTTCCTGAATAACTTTTTTAAGTTCTGTTACTACTTTGTCTGTGTGTTCTTTTGTTGTTTCTGCATTTTGGAAAATTTCCTTTCTAGTTTCTAGAAGAGTTCTGTGTATTAATCTTCTGTATTCTGCCTCTGGTAATTCCAAGAAATTCTCTTCCTCCAGAGAATTTATTGATTTTTTATTGTGAGAGTTTGCTGAAGCCATCATGGACTGTCTGTTTATGTGATTTGACATTGACTGTTGTCTCCAAGCCATCAATAAATTATTATAATTTTACTTTATATTTGTTTAGTGTGTCCTAGCTTCTTGTTTTGTTTTGTTTTGATATGCCCCTGCTAGTGTGCACTAGTTTGATTGCAACTTTGAAGCTCTAACGTCCTGTCACCAAGTAGTTAGTTCTGTAACTAAGTATGTGCACCCAGGAGTCCGTTAAATTTTCCTGTATGGATTCATCTCAGGTGTCCAGGCAGTTGGTCACCAAGTGTGTGGTGCAGGCTCTCACCTACAGTCTTAGAGAGGCATGGGTGATTGGTGTAGACACAGGTATCTGGCTACAGTAGGGGGTCACTTGCTGAGCAAGGCAGGGGGATGATGGCTGCCCCTGAATATCTGACAGAAATCATGTCCCTATTCTCTAGAGCGAGTAGGTAAGTGAGTTTTGCAGACCAACTATGAGCACCCTACTCTGTTGGCTGTAAAGACTCGGGAGCACCACTTATTCTTGGACCCCTGTAGCAGGTAACTAGGTGGCGTAGGTAGAGCTACCAGTCCTCAAGCCCTGATGCGGACCGGTAAAGGTGCCTGCTTAAAGGGCAGGGCTGTGTCAAAAATCATAAATCTGCCACTTCACAGCTGAAACAGTTGAAGTTTGACTTCAGGTGTTTACCCTATTGTACTGTTGAGATGAGTCCATACAAGTCTATACAGGGGTGGAAGCCTCTCAAGGTCTAGGGATCCTTTATGCCTGTGCCTAGCAAAGGAGCTGTGCCAACCCTGAGTTACTGGCTTAGGGGAGCCAGTAGCTTATTTTTTCCCGTTTGTTAATTTGTTCCCTCTCCAAGGCCAGGAGAATGGGTCTGGGCACCTTGTGGGACCTACTTCCGGCCCAGGGGACTCAGAGTCTTCGGAAGCCTGCTGGACCGGTGCAGAGTGGAGGGGGCGGGGAGGAGGTAAAAGGGAGAGAGGTTTTTCCCAAATGGGCTTTTTTTTTTTTTTTAATCCCCACAAAAGACCACACGCATGTACTTATCTTTAGCCACTTGGGAGCTGCTTTTCGCTGGTTCGGAATATCCAAGCAGAATCTCTTCTGCCGGAGCTTTCTCGGTATGGAAACTGCCTCCCAAGCACATGTGCGAAGTTGTATCCCCACTTCACTGCATACCCTGAGCTGGTCTGAGCTGAAGACCTGCGGCTCCTGCTGAGTTTAGTCTGGCACTCCTCGTTTCTGCAGAACTGTCTCCCTCTCCCGCCACCACTCAGTCTGATTCTTCAATGTTGCCTTGTTCAGGGCTTGTAGATATTCATACATAATCAAATCACTTGTTTTTCCAGGTCTTTGTTGTAAGAGGGATATAGGAAGCCATCTGACTACTCCACCATCTTGGCTCGACCTCTCTTTATTGTCTTATTCAAAGAGTACTTTGAACCCATAATTATAATGGTAGAAAAAACATAATTAAAAAATAATTTTACGGTAAAAAAATACTCAAAATTTTGAAATTAGAAGCAGAAAGAAAAGCATTATAACTTCACAACTTAATATAACCACAGTTATTATTTTTTAATATCACACATAATTCTGCATCTAACACTAGCAAATTTCTTTCCATATACATATTTTCATTATGTTTGCATCACTGAGCACATGTAATTTGGTATCTGGCAATTTCATTTATTTAATCCTCCTTTTTGTAGCATTTTTTTTTAGTAAAAATGTCCTCCTATATAATTTAATGCAAATATTTTTAATATTTTTAGTTAACTGTGTTAACTATGAATATTTTTTACAGCTAAAAGCCCTCCTTGAGCAAACAGTAGATTACAAAAATAACAATATCAGAAATTTAAATAATCTAAGTCTTATTACGTTGATCATAGCATATCACAAAGTATTTGGTTTTGCAATAGATTAAATCGTGACATTTTTAATATTTAATATATTACTGCTAGTGTTTCTGTGATCTGGAGCTATTATTATTAAATATATTTGTGATGCATTAAACCATTAATGTATTTACTAAACTTTTTTTGATGTCAATTAGGTAAATAAATATTTATTTATTTGGTGTTTAGTATGTTCAAGACTTTGTGATATCAGTTGAGATGTAAATGAGGAATGAGCTGGTGGATTTATGATATGAGTGTCAGATTCTAGTTGGTAGATCAGAGATTGTAAATTGTTTACTAACCAAATCCAAACAACGGGTACATTTTATTCATTTGGCAAAGTATTTTTAAAAAACATGAGCTGTTTACCATCACTTAAAACTGGGAGACGTCATTTAAAAATTCAGATTTATGACCTCATCTCAATATTGAAGATCTGTGAACTTCGGGCTGGAATTGCCCTTTTCCAGAAGCCAACAATAACTGGAATTGAGTAAAAGTTGCTCCATTTAGAAAGGGTATACCTCAAGTTTTCCATAGACACCACCCAGCCAGCCTCATTCAAGTTACCTGTCTGGTTTAACAAACCCTCCTCATTAGGAAGAGGAAATAAATAGCAAAGCATCAAGAGAAACTGCGCTTGGCACTGTGCTTTCACTTAATAGCCCCTAAATACTTGAAGAACAGAGAAAAACAAAGTAGGAAGAAAAATACTGTGATAAGGGATGAGAAATTGGACAACAGCTATTCATTTAATTGCATATCAAGTCAACAGCTATTCATTTAATTACCTTTTTTTTTTTTCTTTCATGCTGTGCCGGGGTAGACTACACCCAAAAGGCAATGAATTATTATGTTAGCGTCGGCTACTTTGCTCGTTTATTACATCTCTATCCTCAGCCATTGCCCCCTTGAAGTACCTTGAAATACCCCATGTGAATGTCTTTAAAATCTCATGTGAATGTTTTTCTTGGTTCAAAGAATGCTCTGATTCATTATTATTAAAATGCAAATCTTCTTTTGTTTGAATTTTACAAAGGCTGAAGAGATAACTTTAACAATTGGCCAAGCATTCGACCTGGCATACAGGAAATTTCTAGAATCTGGAGGAAAAGATGTTGAAACAAGAAAACAGATTGCAGGGTTACAGAAAAGAGTGAGTAAACTAAGGTTGTTATTTCATATTTATGTGATGTTAAGTACAGGGAAACTTGCATATCATCAAACAAATTTAGAAGGCCTGCCATTAAATTTCCCCCACACTGATTGGAACTGCTTTCACTGTGTTCCTGTAATTTTTCATTCCTGATCCCCTGCACAGTTTTTAACCATTTTATATTGAATTCCCACAAGAACTTAGTGTTCTCATGTGACTTTGCTTCACTTCCTGATGCTTCTCATGGGGATCAGAGCAGCAGAAGCAGCAGATGCTGGGTAAGTGGTTTCCCATGCAGATCAGATTCCTTTGTAATTAAATTACACCATTTTCTCCACTCTCTTCAGAATCATCATTACCAAATTTCACTGTCTTGCGGTTATACTCCATGATTATGGGTATAGATTGCACAGTGCAACACAAAAACACAAAGATGAGGCATAGGAAAATGAAATTTGCACACACATAAAAGTATATTTTTTTAAATTTAATAACATCTTTTTGATGGCCTAGAACTCTCCGATATTTCTCAAGTTTTATCAAAAAACTTATTCCCCTGTGCACAAGAGTATATAAGTATTTTAAGCAACATGAAATCCTCTTTATTAATATAGACAATACTGTGTCCAGTATTTTCCAAGAAATAATTTCTGAAGGTTATTCAATAATCATTTGATTTTTAGATCCAAGACTTAGAGACAGAAAATATGGAACTCAAAAATAAAGTACAAGATTTGGAAAACCAGTTAAGAATAACCCAAGTATCAACATCTCCAGTAAGTACATGAAATATGTGAACATCTCTGGATCATTAACTCTGCAGTATTTCAAATAATAACCAGCAATTTAAAACTAAGCACTGATAGAGATGAAGGCTGGTAAACAAGGTTAATTAAAAAAAAAAAGAAGAAGAAGAAGAATTACCTAGGTAGTTCTGACTAGAAATGTTGTACCATGTAGCTCTTTTATGTTTTTTAAAATAATTCAGTGCTCAGTTTGAAGTTGTTTTAAGACGTTTTTTCTGTTTGTGGCATAGTCTTTCTTTCATTCCTATTGATTTCTGTTAGATTTAATGGCCCATGTCTGCTCTACCCCTGGAGTGCTGGACTTCACTATAGGAAGTGGGCTGTTACCAAGACCAGATTTGGTTTATTATGTTACATAGCAAGGGTTCCTACTGGGAATGAGGCAATTATATTTCAGACATTAAGTGGTAGTCTCTGCAGCCAACATTAAAATATTAACAGTTAAATTATTTATTTTTGGGTTATCATAGTTTTAAAATCGTTTTCCCAGTATCATGTACAATACTATTATTATGTGATTCTGGCTTAAAAGAATTTTTTTTTTTTTTTTTTGAGGGGGGGGTGAGATTTAAAGCAACATTTTTTCTAAACAAAATATATTGATTTTTTTTTTCTGTTCGAATCATCTGTACTACTGATATTTTCCACGTGTATTTTAATCTGCATTTTAAAACTGTTTAATATGTAACTTATGGCATGATACTAAGGATCCCTGGTGGTGCGGTGGTTAAAGCGCTGGGCTGCTAACCAAAGGTCAGCAGTTCGAACCCACCGGCCACTCCTTGGACGAAAGACACAGCAGTCTGCTTTCCGTAAAGACTACAGCCTTGGAAACCCTATGGGGCAGTTCTACTCTGTTCTATAAAGTCACTATGAGTTGGAATCAAATATATAATTTTGATATTTGCAAGATTTTGAAAAAAATTCTGTTGTAAATTATCATTTGCAAGTCCATTTTTGGTTTAATCCCTAGGCTAACTGAATGAGAACTCTTTAACTCATACAAGAATATTTCACCAGTTCCTCACATGAGGAAGAATGATTCTATAGGAAGTTGCATTCAGGGTTTCAAATTTAGCGTGTCCTGGAAGTAGGTCAAAAAATGTTCTTTCCTTTTCATTTTCCAGACTGCTTAGCATATGATTTGTAGCAGTGTAGCTGATACGGCTCAGGTGAAAGAGGTTAGGAGTGAGGTACCTATGTACCTGTGTTATGTGCAATGAGATCCTGGAGCATCCTGTTTAGGCTCTGGCTTTATTATATATTCTTTTCGGTTTTTCTCTTCACAATCATCACTATTTGATTCTTACCAGGATTAGTATTTTTTCTTGCCTTGTTGAGAGTTTCACTGTGAGCTATGCTGCTGGAGACAAAAAATAGGAATTTGAAGATAAACAAAGGGGAAGATACACTTTCACGCAGTCTTAATAAGATAGTCGTTCCTGGAATTCAGGAAGTTGCTTCAGCCGTTGTGTTGACAAAGGAACTAAATATGATTCATCACCATTTTGGATGAAAACCAAAGCTTGTTCATTGTATGTCCTATTTTTTCTGAGGAAGGAGAGTTAAGGATATCATACTGAAGGACAAAATAGATTTGGGGAAGAGCAGGGAAGTTTGGGACATGTTTTTTAAACCACTACCCACTTATTTTATCTCCCCAAAGTAGACACTGCCTTGAGATAACACTGAGGCAACTGAGAAGAAGCTGGGTCAGGGTTGGGGTTTATGAATGTGCATTGGTGAACTCACATGGTTACCAAGTCAGCTTCAGAAATGGAAAGGAGCAGCAGAGTTGAAAAGATGACCATTGGTTCAGTTTCTTTGATCATCTGAGATAACCATTCCAAGCAGTGAACATGAAAGTTGATATGCAAGTGATACACATACTGTCCATGATTATATTAGTGTATTCAACAGTTCTCATTAATTGAGTCCATATTGTGAAAACTCTAAAATTATTAACATAGCCAGTTATTAAAATGGATTAACTCTCCTGAGGTTAAATCATTTAATAATTAGTATAAGCATTATGTTCATCTCAGTACTAAATCTTTCTGAATGGAAGTGCTTCAAATACTACAACTAAAAGGTAGAATTAAAAAAAGAAATTATTTTCTATAAACTATTTTTACATTTGTCTATAAAATTTATTGTGGCATTGACCATTATGAAAATATAAAATACCATTATTAAAATTATAACTTTGTAATCTACTTACGTTCTTTTTTTCACAATAGTATCTTTGTCCCTTTTCTTTCATCTTTACAAAAAAATTGTCACATCACTTTTCAGTTTTTTGTTATATATTATTTGAAATTGCTAATACACTCTGGAGGATACACGTCTTCTTTAAGATAAAAAATAGAAATTATTTGATTCTTAAAAGAAAGTGAACTCAAGAACACTTTTAAATTGCTAAAAGATATTGGTTTTGAAAATATTGTTGCAGGTGTTGATTAACATATTTTTAATCCTTTTGAAGAGATTACGAAAAAATACATTCAGCCTTTCATTTTCAGTTTTAGTTATATAGCTGTGAAATAAATTAATACAGCTCTAAGTGCAGCAATATTTTTACATCTGTTGAACTACTTTTCTGATATTAAAAATAAATTACCTACAATTATCTAGTAAATTTGAAATATTGCCATACTTGTAAATAGTCACTCTACTGAAGGTTAATTTACAAAACACTGAAACTGTATTTGAAAAACAACAGTGAAATTGTAAATAATTAACAAAATATATATTTATAATACATATGTCTTGTTTAATAACTTGCCATCAATAAAGCAAATTCCTGTTAAGTTAGAATTGGTTTTCATCTACTCTTCCTTATGAAATTGGAACATTAGTTTTGCAGGACACTTTAACCAGACTTCAAGCATGCAGGGTCAGGAACACAAGTGTCCTCATGTGAATACACAGTAAATGCCTATTTGACTTATAACCCTGGAAATTCAGCTCTGTAGGTTTTTTTGTTTTTGTTTTTTTAAATAATATTTTATTGTGTTTTTGGCAAAAGTTTACACAGGAAATTAGATTCCCATTCAACAATTTCTTCACACATTATTCGGTGACATTAGTTACATTCTTCACAATGTGTCAAAATTCTCATTATTTCCATTCTGGTTCCAATTCTAATTTCAATTCCAGTAATCTAGTTTCTGTGGCCCCTTACCTTCTCATCTTTGGTTTAAAGTACTTGTTGACCATTTGGTCTCATATAGATGATGTTTTAAAGAAGCACAGTACTTGCAGGTGATAGTCTTTATTTTGTGACAATCTATTAGTTAGCTAAGGTGACCTCAGGGGATAGCTTTGGTTCAAGGTTTGAAGAGTATCTCAGGGCAACAGTCTTGGGGATTACTCTAGTCTCAGCTGGTCCAGTAAGTCTGGACTTTTTAAGAATTTGACTTTGTTCATATTTTTCTCCTATTCTATTTAGGATCCGTCTATTGTGGTCCTGATCAGAACTATTGGTAGTGGTAGCTGGGTACCATCTAGTTCTTCTGGTCCCCGGGTAGATGAAGCCATGGTTCATATAAACAGTTAGTCCTATAAACCAGTTCCTTCTTTTTCTTTTGCTCCAGATGAGTAGCATCTAATGGTTGTACCTTAGATGGCCACTTGCAATCTTTTAAGACCCCAGATACTACTCACCAAACTAGGGTGTGGAATATAAACTTTATGAACTGTATTATGACAATTGATGAAGTTGTCCCATGAGACTATGGTCCTGAGACCAGAAAACCAATCCTGCAGTGTGTTTGGTATATATCTGAGGAGTATCCATAACTGTGCCCCCATGTGCTTTATTATATATATGAACATATGTGCATGCACACACATACATGCATACACACACACATACATATGTATAAAAACAAACAAACCAAAACCTGTTGCCATCGAGTCGATTCCGACTCACAGCAACACTGTTGGACAGAGTAGAACTGCCCCTTATGGTTTCCAAGGAGTGTCTGGTGGATTCAAACTGCTGACCTTTTGTTTAATGGCTGTAACTCTTAACCACTGCGCCACCAGGGTACCTATATACATACATACATACATATATATCCACAGATATATTTTATGGTTGCTGTTGCTGCTGTTGCAAAATTATATATGTCATAGCATTTACCAAAATGTCCTTTCGTTTTGTGTACAACTTAGTGACATCATTTACCTTGGCAAAGCTGTGCTCATTTCACCCATATTCAGTGTTACCTTTCCCATTACCAAAAATATCAAGTGTCTAGTCTCTGAAGAGATATTCCCCCTCTCCCCTCCTCCCTCCTATCCCTGGTAACCACCAGTGAGTATTGGTCCCTGTATATTTATCTATTCTTGTCTTATTATAAAAGGGATATCACACATTGTCTTTTGTGATCAACTTATTTCACTCAGCATAATGTCCTCCAGGTTCATCCACATTTTAAGATGTTTCAAGGACTCATCATTCTTTATGGCTGTGTAGTATTCCATTGTATGTATGTACCATATTTTGTTTATCCATTCATCCGTTAATGGGCACTTAGGTTATTTCCATCTTTTCGCTATTGTGAGTAGTGCTGCAGTGAACATAGGTGTACATGTCTGTTACTGTCTCTTCTGTTAGATCTCTAGTGTATATAGCTAGGAGTGGGATTACTGGAACATAAGGTAATTCTATTTCTAGTTGTTTGAGGAAGCACTATACTATTTTCCATAGTGGCTGTACCGTTTTACAGTCCCACCAGCAGTGAATAAGTATTCCAGTCTCCTCACATCCTCGCCAGTGTTTGCTGTTTTCTGTTCTGTTTTTTTTTCCCATTGGTATCATTTTCGCAGGGATGAGATGGTATCTCATTGTAGCTTTGATTTACATCTCTCTAACTGCTGACGATCATGAGCATCCTTTCACGTGTTTGTTGGCCACTTGAAGGTCCTCTTTCGTGAGAATCATGCCCTTTGCAAATTTTTTA